GCACATTGGTATTTGTATATTTTGTAATTCAAATAAAAAATCTAGAGACCATTATCATGATTTTGCGAAAAGGCTTTTAATATATTTTGTTCAGAAAGCAAAACATTTGTACAGTCCAACATTCACTGTGTACAATATACATGGACTAGTACACTTGCATGAAGATATAGAATTTTCAGGCAAGTCACTAAATGAAATTTCGGCTTTTCCATTCAAAAACTTTATGAAATCACTAAAAAAAATAGTAAAAAATGCAAGCAACCCAATTGCACAAGTAGCAAAAAGATTATCAGTAAATGGACTTAAAAGATCAATGCAGATTCCTAAGTCTAGAATTTCAGTTAGAGAAAGAGATTCATTCTTTTTTTTAATAAAGAAAGAAAAATATGTAGTTGTGCGACAAAAGATTGACTGATCATTTCCAGTGTGATACATTTAAATTAGCAAAATGTAAAAACTTCTTTGTATCAACGATAAATTCAAAAGATTTAAACATATCAGTGATAAATGGGTTTAGTAAGTTGTCTTTCAAATCAGTTATTTTAAACGCTGCAGATTTATCATGTAAAGTTGTTTGCATGAAATACCACAAAAATAGTTTGTTGTTGTATCCTCTACTGCACATGTCTTAAAAACTTATTATATTGTTGTTTGTTGAATTTTAAAAACTTATTATATTGTTGTTTGTTGAATTTTAATGTTTCAAAAAATTGATTTTTAAATTACTTTTCCTTTTTCCCCCCTTTTTTTGATTTTTAACTTTTTTTGTATTTTGTTTTTTTCTTTTTCAGAATTTTTTTTTTCTCGAAGAATATATTACAATATTTTGAATAAATAAGTGAACTAATTTTTTTATTTAAAAAATCCCTCTTATAAAAAATATACATGTTTTTAAGCCTAAATATCATAACACTTAGTAATAATTAAATTAGAGATACATTTTAATATTTTTTTAATAATACTTGTTTGAAATTATTGTTTGAAAGATTTATTAAGCAAAAAACACATTGCTTATTTTTTCTTTTTGTTAACAACAACAAAAAGGAAGATTTTCTTTTTGATAATAATTTTTCTTTTTGTTAGTAATTTTTCTTTTTGTTAGTAATTTTTCTTTTTGTTAGTAATTTTTCTTTTTGATAATAATTTTTTTTCTTCAAATTTTTGTTACTGCTGTAATTCAAAACATTTTATACAAATACATATTTTTATTATATACATCAACTTAATAATTTAATTAAATTTTTTTATGAAGGAAAGTTTTTTAGTTTTTTATTTACATTTGTATTGTATAAAATAATATTATAGCATATAAAAAAATGTGGTCTCTTGTTGTGTGGGAAGAGGATGGTAAGTTCATGAAAGATTTAATTCCACATGTTTGGGTTGAAGGTGATGTGCTTCGATGGCCACCCAAGGGTCTTTCAGCTGACCGTGCCTCATCAAAAAAAATGGTACCAAAAAATGATTGGAGGCGCTACTCCATTATGAAAATCAAATTAACACATTGTAAGTACTTTAAAATAACAAAATATTTGTTTTTGTTTCTCCTGCAATTGTTCCAGATATCTTTTCAGTTTTTATAATCTTTCAATATATAATCTAGATTTACTAAGTTATTTGGTAAAAAGTACTTATACTTAGGATTGGGTTCAAACAGAAGAGATGCCTTGATCTGTATAATAGATATACATTCTTCTGCCTTCATTTATATATATATATATATATATATATATATATATATATATATATATATATATATATATATATATATATATATATATATATATATATATATATATATATATATATATATATATATATATATATACATATACATATATATACATACATATACATATATATACATATATATATACATATATATATACATATATATATATATATATATATATATATATATATATATATATATATATATATATATATATATATATATATATATATATATATATATATACTGTATCTAAATGAAGATTTTTCTGAATGATTTGTCTAGCTGACAAGCAAGAATGCATGACTTGCAACTACACTACAGCAGCTGATAGTGGCAATTACGAAAATGCAGTTGAAGAAAACAGTGATCTGAGCGTGTCTTTACCACAACCACCCTCACGTTTTAACTCAAGCGGAAAAGAACGCAAAAAGTGCAATGCAAAAAGGGCTGTTCTTTCTTCTGATTCGGAAAGTTATGATAGTGAAGTACGCCACAAGTTACCTGGAAAACAAAACAAACCTAGTTTTGATATATCTGCAGGTACCAGTTTACTTTTAACAGTAATTTTATAAGATGCTTTTCTCTGTTGTATGAAATTAAATTTAATAGTGTCTTCTTTAAACTTTCTTTATGATTTGTAAAATAGTTTATGTATTGTTTATTCAATACGATAAAAATGAAGTTAAAAAAAGTGGGTTTAAAAGAGTGATTTTTTTTCTTATCGTTGCAGTAAGCGTGTCTGATGATGGTTCAGAAGATAAGGAATTTATTCCTATGTCAAATACAAGTTAGTTTGACATTTGTTGCCATGGTTTTTTTAGTATTTTAATAAATAATTGAATTAAAATTTTCTTTTCGAATTCAAAGTTGAAAATTTCTTAAACATTGACTTTTTCCTTCCAAAGGTTATAACACTGCAGTTGTCTATATTAAAATACATTATTATTTTAACAGGTTTTCAACGCTCAGTTCTTTCTTTTCAACAAAACGTTGTTCGATGGATGCGCAACAACAGGGGCTGCAGTGGGAACAGTTTAATTAGCAGTCCAACTTCGCCTTGTTGGAGGATACGATTGGAGAGATTGCGTCAAGAGCCTCGTGAAACGCGTTATGAGCAGAGATGTAATGGGAACAAATAAAAAAATTAAATTTGCAGATTCAAAAGTATACCGCCTTCTATACAATGCTGTGCTTCATAACTTTCCAAAAACAACTGAAGCTGAGTTTTACAAGATAATTCAAAACGTTTTAAGAAATGCTCCAGCACGCAAGAACACTGAACTAAAATTATAATATTTAATAGTTTCATTTTATTATTTAGTTTTTATTTGTACTATATCTTAAAATGTAGTGCTAGTAAGTTTTTAACAGCTTTACAGGTATTTAGCCGTTGTAAAGATTACTAACATTAGGTGTTTTGAAGACATCTACATTTAGATTACTAAAAGGTGTTTAAGTAATAGACGTCTATAAGATTACTGATAAGAGACGTCTTAATGACACGTGATAGGCAGATATCTTACAGATAACCAGTATAAGTTTTCTCAATGATATCCGAATTTACACGGCTGTAAGATGTTATCTTCGCGATGGCTTTAAGATGACTCAAATAAGCTGTCTCAAAGAAATCAGAATTTAGCCGTGTACAATGCGTTACAATCTCGCTGTATTTTAGATTACTTAAATAAGATATCTCAAATCCATCGGCAGTTAGACGTCTAAAAGGTGTTAACATTTAGGATGTCTTTTAGATTTGATTGAGACTCCGGTGGAAGACGTTAATTAGACGTCTCAAAGACAGTTTTGTGCCGGCTGGGACAGCTTTGTTTGATATAGCCTTTGTTTTAATATCAATATTATATTCACCGTAGTCAATGTTAATACCATTTTTAGTAGTATGATTTTGAAAGCTGTGTGCTTGGATACGAAACATTAGTGAGTACTTACGGCTAGAGAGATGCGCTGTGTACTTTTTAGCAACAGCTTCTTTCATTGCATGCTCTGTCTGTGCTCTTTTTGCATTTATTCTGCAAAAAAATTTTTGAAGAAATTGAACATGTTTGTAGGATAATATAAACTCTTCCATATCTTTTAAAGAGGCAGAAGTAACTAATAAATCCCAACATCCATAAATCAGGCCTTGGTGGCCACCATGGATATACTTCATAACATTATACGAGTCATGGCGTCGTCGTTTTGTTCATAATTTTTTTGACTCTGTATAAAAGTATTATTGCAAAGATTATGTAGTTCTTTTCTGTTTAACTTTTGTTTAAGATTATGTAGTTCTTTTCTGTTTAACTTTTGTTTAAGATTATGTAGTTCTTTTCTGTTTAACTTTTGTTTAAGATTATGTAGTTCTTTTCTGTTTAACTTTTGTTTAAGATTATGTAGTTCTTTTCTGTTTAACTTTTGTTTAAGATTATGTAGTTCTTTTCTGTTTAACTTTGTCTACCAATATCAAATATGCTGCCTCTATAAATAAATAATCAGTATAAGTAAAAAATTAACTTACACTAAGCAAGTAGAACACATACTAAGCAAGTGGAGATCAAGTTTACTTTTAAAAATTGCTTCGTTTTGTAAATTGCTAAATTAAGTTAAAAAACAAATAAATTTCCATAAAATGACTCACTAAATTTATTTTCACTTTTATCTATCAATAAATAATGAGGGATAGTAAAAACATAGATTGTTAGATTGATATGATCAATATTAGTAAAAAAATGATATTAGAAAAAAAAATAAGACGAGAAAAGTTGTTTGGAAAAAATGAAATAATATTTAGATACATAGTGTTATTTAGCCCTTAAACAACTATGGGAAACTGGTGTCCCACATTTTCAAAAGGTGTATTTACATACATCATCCAGGTCATATTTTGAAAATGTGTTTAGTATAATATGAGCATTAAAGAAAAAATAATTTTTAAACTATATTATAAATTGCTACTTGTTTCATTCAAGTTTGTGTATAAGAAATTATTAACTATGAACTAATTAAAACTTTCAAAATCAAAACTCACCTGTTTCATTTATAACAGTTGCAATTTCGCATAAGCATTGGTAACTCATGTTTTTTTGACTCTGTAAAATTAATTTTTCACAACTGCTTTGATACTTTTTGTTGAATTTTTTCTAACAATAACAAATGCTCTGTGTCTAAAAAAAAAACTTTTTCCTTATTTATTGTTACTTATATAATAATACATATTTATTCAAAAATAATAATTTTTACTATTACTATAACTTTTTTGGTCTCTATTTTATAAAAACTATTTAAGTATTATTACTACTAGTACTGTAGTTACAACTTTAAATTATTATTATTTAATACTATTTTGTTGATAGTTTATTATTATTTTTTTTTTTTGTTAATTCTACTACTATTGTGATGAGTTTTTTTTAATTTTAATTTTTTTTTTTTTTATATCAATTATATCAAGCTAACAACCTATTCTTTTACTATCCCTCATAAAATATATATAGAGTTTAAAAGTGAAAATAAATTTAGCGAGTAATAAATAAATTATATTGAAATAAACTTTTAATCTTTAGTTTTCAATAATTATTGCAATATAGATATTCCTTCCTTTTCACGATTAAAATTACTTATTAGTTTAGTCTTATTAAATAAAGATGACTCATTAAAGGAACGTTTACTATCACATTTTATTAAATAAGGATGACTCATTAAAGTTTACTATCACAATTTGATGAAAGACCAGAAATTTTTGAGCAGTTTCTTTTTTCCACAAAACCTGAATGAGATAAAAATAAATACTTGCGTTAAAGTATCTTAATATTATATATACATTCTAATATAAAATAAAATTAAAAAAATTAAATTACTTCTTTGAATGATCTGATTCCATTTCCCGGTTGCACATTGGCAATGTGCCAACTTGCAATGTCATTGGAAGTTAAGAGATTTGTAAACAAAATAATTTTTTTACTTAAATCTTAAAAATCTTAAATTATTTAAAAACTTTGGCATATAAAATTCGCCGAATGGTCACACACGAGCAGTGAACGCCTGAGGGAAGAAATGAAGTACATTAGAATAAAGGAGAATTATTTATTAGACAAAGCATATTTTGACAGTTGTCAAGACAAAAATAAAGATTAATAGAGGAATACTTAAAAATAATAACAAAAAAAGGAATACTCAACAATAATAACAAAAAAAAAATTTTTTTTAAATTAAAAACAAATAATAATAAAATATATATATATATATATATATATATATATATATATATATATATATATATATATATATATATATATATATATATATATATATAAAAATAAAAAAATTTGTTTTATAAATACCAATATGAACTAAAATATACAAGAAATACATAACCAGTTAGAAATTTGTAAAACAAAAAACCATTCAACAAATTAAAAATATGCTAACAACAATGAAAGGACTAATAATGGAAAAAAAAATAAATGCTAATGTGTAAACATAATTAGTGTAGTAATTAAGTAATAAACATCTCCTCAGAGTCGCGTCTATTATTACTGGCGTTTCGATGAGGATCAGCATTTATATATACATTCTAATATAAAATAAAATTAAAAAAAATTAAATTACTTCTTTGAATGATCTGATTCCATTTCCCGGTTGCACATTGTCAATGTGCCAACTTGCAATGTCATTGCAAGTTAAGAGATTTGTAAACAAAATAGTTTTTTTACTTAAATCTTAAAAATCTTAAATCTTAAAAATAAATTTTTTAACTGCCTAATTATAAACTTTGTAACTTATAAAAACATGAAAAAAAAGAATATTATTTCAAAAATTTTGAAATATTATTTAAAATTTCAAAATGTTATCAAAATACAAAAAAAAAATGGCTGCCAATAATTTTTTTGGAAAATCACATGGAAACATTTAAGATAAAATGATATTTCACTTCCACTGTATTAATACAAAATTTTCACAAATAATCTTTGGTGTATTGGGATAATATAAAAAATCAAGTATCTCAAGAAATACAAATTAACTTTTAAAATCTCTAGCTAAAAAGAAAGATTATAATCAAAGTTTCCTTTTAAGATATACAACAATGTGTATCGAGGAGGTAACATAATGGTTTATCGAGCACCTTTTTTCAGGCATATTTATAAAGCCATAAATAATACGATTAATGCGTAAATAAAAATATGTTCTTCCACAAACAAAGAATGTAGTTTATGTTTAACTTATTGACACATTAAAATATTCACTTTTTGAACAAATAACCTATAAATCTTGATTATTTAACTTAACTATAGACTGGATTAAACGTAGAAAAATTCCAGTCTAAATGATACTTAAAGTTTAAAACAGTCGCGCAAACATTTATAAATTCGCGTTGAAAGATTTTTTTGCTTAAGTTAACGCCGTGGTGTAACGCTCGATAGGTAATACAAAATTTTTTGACAGAAAGGCTCATTTAAAAAGTTATTATTTCTCAAAATATATTTACTGACAGGTTTAAAAGTGAAAAGATCTTTGAATACGGTTAGGGATGAGTTATTTATCCACATATACACAAAACATAAAATATTAAATACATTTAATTCGTAAATATTCAGAATTCTCATTTCAATAAAATAATGCTTCGAATGAGAGAAGCGATTTGCAAAATTGGTTATACGGATTGCGCGTTTCTGACGGAGATAAAGACGTTGCAACATTCTTTAATGCATTAGTTGATTTTTAATTTTATAATTTTGAATTTTTCTAAATTTTCTTTTTTTATAATATTATTTATAAATTCTATAGTACAATATGTTGCACCTTCTAATATCGTGTGCAATCCTGTCCGCTTTCTCTATGCTATCTTTCTAACTCGACTTCTCCTGTCTTTCACTCTAACATATCTTCGTTTTTCCCAAATTCACTTACTTTATGTCCGTGTTATGACGCTCCTTGGGGAGCCGAACTTGTCTTTGCCGGCCTTGGTAATGTAGCCTCTGTATGGCAACTAGCCAGAGGAGGATAAACCACAATACCTAATTTTTCTAAATTTGCATATTATTATTTTTCTTTTGTAAAATATACGAATGGCGGGGGCAGGAAGAAGTCAAAAATAGTCTTATTGCTAAGTCATTGCGCATATAAATATGCTATAGTATATATATATATATATATATATATATATATATATATATATATATATATATATATATATATATATATATATATATATATATATATATATATATATATATATATATATATATATATATATATATATATATATATATATATATATATATATATATATATATATACTCCACTGCGAGTCAGGCTATTTGTCTGTCGATGTATCTACTGAAGCCCCCGCAGCAGGGGGCTTCAGTACATTATTTCAGTATGATGTCATCATGCTCACTTAACTCAGCAGTGTAGGATATTTAACTTATTATATAGTTAGTTTAATACTTATTAAATTTGCGGACGTGAAGGACACCGTTTAGACAGCTCGGCGCTCGCCGAGTAAAATCTGCAGTAAAAGAAAATGGCCAACACAAACCCGGTTATCCTTGCTCAACGGCTTCAATTGAGTCATAAACAAAGAGTTTTAAAACTGTATCGAGACAGCTTAAAGCATTTGCTTTCTTGGACTGGTTCCCGATTAATTTGGAGAGAACAAGCTGTATTACTACGGGAACGCTTCGATGCGAATAAGCATTTGACGGATAGATCTCAAATTCAAAAGGTTTTGGAGGAAGGAGAAAAACTTTTCAATGAAAATCGGCATCCTCAACCTTATATCTGTAATCTTTTAAAGTAATATCAGTGTTGTAAATCCTTGGATTTACAATAATAACTTTATATTTTAATACCATTTTCGTAAATACTCAGATTTACAATAATATCTTTATATCAGTGTTCAAAGTCCTTGGATTTAAAAAAAATTGCATTATATTATTATAAATATTGTAAATCCATGGAATATCTTTGTAATGTAATCTCAGTGTTTTAAATTCTTGGATTCACAACAATATATATATATATATATATATATATATATATATATATATATATATATATATATATATATATATATATATATATATATATATATATATATATATATATATATATATATATATATATATATATATATATATATATATATAGATAGATATATATAGATAGATAGATAGATAAATATATATATATATATATATATATATATATATATATATATATATAATATATATATATATATATATATATATATATATATATATATATATATATATATAAACCACATTGTACCCTTGACATAAAATAGAAGTGTAACACAGGCTATTAAATTTAAATAGGTGTAAACTGTTTTACATGGTTTCAGGCAAACAAGAACAAAAAAAACCTTAAAAAGTGCATTCAGTAACATCCCAGTTAAAGAAAGTTCATTTTAGTAAAAAAAATTTTAGTTCATTTTATACAGCAGCTAATAAGTCAACTAACATGTTCAGAGCTTCGGGGCACCAGAGACCAGGAAAAAATAATGAGATAAAAAGCCGTAGTCCTTTTGGGATTTTGCATCCCTAATTCAAATAGAACCATAATTTGTGTTTCATTGAAATATATTTATGCTTTCAAAAAATACAGCTATTTAAAGTTTTGAACTCCCTCAATTAAATAGTTTTTAAAAAAAAAAAATCTGAAAATAAAAAAAAAGATGTGGTTTTTCTTTTCATTTTCATTTTTATCTCATGTCAACCTACTGTAAGAGTAGTTCAAAACTTTTTTTCAAACTTATTATTAAAGTTATTTTTAAAAGTTTGATCTACTTTACTGTTTATTGTTATACAAGGTTAAAAAAATAGAGCATTTATTGCTTTTTTAAACTACATGAAAACAAGAAGATTAGCGAGAGATTTCTTTGCGAATTTTGAATAAAATTTTTTTCAACATTTTTTTTTTTTTTGATGTGTTAATTTAACATTATTATTTTCATTTTCCCATTTTTCTGTGTTTAATCTTTTTTTTTTATATTTAATTTTCGTTTTATATTTAATATTTTTACTTTTGATATATACCCTCAGTATTCTGTAAAATAAAAAATAAAGTTGTAAATAAGCTTAGTGTATAAATTTAACATTCTGTAAAGCAAACAAGTAGATTTGAAAGGTTAGTTTTATAAAATTTTATAAGATTTATGTAAATAGTAAAAATTTTTTTAAGAGAAACTAGATAATAACAAAAGTGCAAATGAAATGATTAGCAAAGTAATCCTAACTTATCTGAAAATCAAGTCTCTAATTACTGATATCTAACACTAATATGTTAGTGTATCACTGATATCTTATGTTAATACTAATATGTTAGTGTATCATTGGTATCTAATGTTAATACTAGTATATTAGTGTAAAAGACTCAATTAAACAATAATTAAATAACAATCAGCAATTTACAAAAAATACAGTTAATACTAGATTTATAACTAACCTTAATTTTCTAGTGAATTAAACCAAAATTTTATTTAACATTTATTTTTTTATAACTTCTATCATGTTTTTTTTTAATTCTATATTCAAGATTACCAACATACATTACAAGTAATATTCTAGTAAAAGATAAATGCGTTTTTTAAAACACAGTTTATATATCTCCATTTTTAAAAAAAACCTAAAGATGGAAGAATATATTTTGTGTACTGACTTTAAACTTGATGTTGTAAAAACACACATTATTTTTACAACATAACTTGAAGTTAAGTCACATTAAACAAAAACTAACAAAGTTGAATTTTTTATTTGTCCTAATTTAATTATATTAATCCAAATAATAAATAAATTAATAAAGTTATGTGATAACTTTGAATTTTTAGTTCCAAGTGCTCCATACGGAAGCAAATGGGAAAGAAATATACCTCCACCTCCAAGTGTAAGTTGTTTATTTGTTTGATTCATAAAAGTACTTGAATATAGAACATAAACCTGATGAAAATAAAAGATTTGATTGTTTTTATAATCTATACCTATTAAAAGAAAAGCAGTTTGATAGTTCACCATCGTAATGTTAAGTTATGTTTAATTGAAATTATGAATTAAAATTGTTATATATAATTATATTGTTAAATAATTATGTGTATAATTTTTTATATAAAACTGCTTGTATCTCTAAAAACAATGTCAGAAATAATCATTTTCTTTGGAGATATGTTTTTTGTGTGTGCTTTTTTTTTTTCTTTGCCATCTACTTGTGTTGTTTCACATTAAAAAGAACTTGATAAGTTAAGCGTAAAATGCCTCATCTATCTTAATGCAGTTTAACATAATTTATATACAAACTAATTCTCTTGATATTTCCAATTATGTTTTTATATTATATAAAATACGTCTATATACATATACAATTATTTACAAGTAACGCTAATCAATTGTTAGCTTTAAAGCAATCACTAACTATATTTACACTTTACAACTTGTATCAAAAATGTTGATATATTTGTCAAGTTGGTGAGTAACAAATAATGTGACATTTATTCATTTTTGCAAAACACATTTTTTTTGTCCCTCACAATCTCTTGAAAAATGAAATCTTTTCATTTATTTTTTGCATATTAAAGCTTTTTGTTATTGACTTTTTTTGACAAGTTGTGTTTATATTTTGTACTTTGTAAGTTGTGTTTATAGTTTATATTTTATATTTTAACTTCATATCATCATCCACAATCATCATCATTCACTTTTATCTAATTTTCCTAAATCATTCTAAATATTTCTTGGTTTTGGTTTTTTTAATGTGTGATTATTATAATAATGAATATTCTGTTTTAAAGTTAAGTAAATTGTTACTTGTTTTAAAGGTCCTAGAGATGTTGCCAGAGGAAGAAGAATGGTATAATGATATGACAAAATGGGCAAATGGAAAAGAATAAATATTGCAAATTTGAAAAAATCTTTTTTGTTTTTTACACTTTTTTGTATTATTCGTTTGAGCTTATTAAAATTTTTAATAAAAATTAATTTGTTTTTGTTACTTTTAAATAAGAAATATTTATATTTATCTTATTTTTAAAAATTGAAATAAATTTAATTTAAAAACATCTAATTGCATTTTGCCTTGTTTTGTATATGATTGTAATTTGTCAATTGTTTTATTTTGTATATAATACAATTTAATTAATTTTGTATATAATACAATTAAAGGTATATTTTACCTTTTCAGTTGTTGTTTTGTTACGTGTTAATCATTTGCCAGTTATTTTTAGTAAATTGTTATAATGTCTTCAACTGGTCGACATCAGCTTATGGAATTACTAAATAATTTGAGAATAGAAACAAGAGTTGTTGAACATCCTGCTGTATTTACTGTTGATGCTATGATGGACTATTTGAAAGATGTTGATGGTTTTGTTACTAAAAATCTGTTCCTTAAAGATAAAAAAAATAAGCTATGGCTACTTTGTACGTCTCATTCTAGTCAAATTAAGCTAAGCGATGTAGCAAAATTGGTTGGAGCAGCAGGTACTTTAAGGTTTGCAGATGAAAAAATAATGATTGAAAAGATAGGTGTTGCTCAAGGATGTTGTACTCCACTTTCTTTAATTAATGATAAAAATAACGACGTCAAGTTAATTTTGGACCAAAATTTATTGAGAGATGGATCATGGATATATTCTCATCCTCTAGAAAATACTGCTACTCTAGGAATGAGTGTAGAAAATTTCAAAATGTTCCTTAAAGAAACTGGACATGAACCTAAAGTTATTAATGTCAACTAGAATTAAATTTTTATAATTTTAAAACATTTTTAAATGAGATTGCATCATGCTCTAAATGTTTAATAAAAAGATAAGTGAAGGGAATGGTCTCTCACTATTAAATATACATCTGTATACACACACACACACACACACACACACACACACACGCACAGATATATATTTAATGTTTTAATGTTTTCCTATTATTTATCGTTCATTAATATTTATTTCATATTTTTGTTTTTGATATTTAGTACTACAATTTAAGGGGGCATCCATAAAATAAGTACGCAGTAAAACAACTAATTTAGGACCCCCTCCCCTCTCCCTTGTACGCATAGTTATGCTTTTAACAATCCTCCTCCTTTTGCGTCACCTCCCTCTCTTCTCAAACGCTTACATTTTTCAAAACATTAAAAAACAAAAAATACTGTTATTTGATTCAATATTTTACTGTTACATTTTTTTAAACTCTTGAAGTTTAATGCATTTCTTTCAAAAAAGAAATCTAGTTTTAAGAAACAATAAGAGTCAAACCCCGCACGTGCTCGCTGTCTTTAACACCCTTGTTTGCAGTTTGTGAATCCTCGCCCCCCCCATACCTGCGTACGTGCTTTATGAAAAACCCCTAACTAATTTTAGAATAATATATTAATATTTAGTTTATAATACATCAAAATAGTGTATAGTAAAACTAATTCAGCAAAAGAAAATGTACAACAAAAATATTAAGTTAAAGCAACAATAAAAACTTAGAGAAAAATAATAAAATTGTTTTTTTGTTAAAAAGATTTTTTTTAATAGAAAAATTTTTTAGAAGTATTGTAGCTTAACTTTGTTTGAATATGTGTATGTATGTCTATTAGGGATGTTCATTTTTCATCAGTTTTGTTTTACTGACATGTATTCAAGCTAAAAAGGTAGGTAATTATGAGTTGATTTTAAAATTATTTTTAACCTTGCGCCAACAGACGCCTTTTTTTTACATTTTTTCAAGTTCTTACTGCAAATGAAATATTTGAAGACCTGATTGTGCTACAGACATGCATATGACATTTCATAGTTAACCCTGTCTATAAGATGTATAGAATATAAACAACCGAAGTGTCTGTTATAACAGTTTTGCAGGAGATAAATCAATATAATTATAAAGATATATTGAAGTGTTTGTTTGGCATAATTTAAGAACCTAATTACAATTTAATACATTTGTGTTGGTATACTTTAAAAAAATATGCTACTTTTAAAAGCAGTTATGAATTATGTAATATATATTTCATTTTGTGCTGTACTAACAACAAGAAGTATTTATTTTAATCAAGGTCGTCCCGAAAGGGGTGTCCCCCCCCCAAAAAAAAAAAAAAAAAAAAAAGCTTGTTTGTTGGCACATTGAGCAAGTTTTGAACAATAGTTGGCAAATCTTGAGGACTTTTTTTTTTTTTTTTTTTTTTGGTCTCTAGTTGGCAAAAAAGTACATATACCCCCCCCCCCCCCCCATTAAAAACCTCTTCAAGACAGCCCTAATCTTAATACATTACTATAGCCTTGATAGCTTTTTGTTTCGACTTAGTGTTCAAATATATAATTGTTTTTATAACAATAAGTTAAAAGTAACTTATGTTACTTTTAAATTATTGTTACAAAAATGAAAGACTATTTGTCAATAAAGGTTTACTACTGATATAAAAACGAAACGAGTTTGAAAATGAAAGTAATTTGTTAATAAAGTTTACTGCCTCTGTTTTTTAATTGTAAATGGAATAAATTATTTTTTTAAGATAGTCGAATAAGCCGAGTATTTCAAAAAATGATGCTAAATACCGAAAACAGTTTTTTGAATGGGGCTAAAAGTTGTAATTATTTATACAAAAACAACTTAAGTAGAAAAATTAACGCTACCATAGTTTATCTGAACCTAACGTGACATTATTGTTAAACATTATTTAGGTGTGGTATTGAAAATGATAACTTCAATTTTCATAAAAAATGGTTTTTCATAGATAATTTTCCCAAATAATGTCTGATTATAAATGTCAAGTTACATTTATTGAAAACAAACACCAAGACATGCTTTTATGAAAAAATCAAATCCATAGACTTATCTACAGCTAAGCCCCAAGGTACTTTTTTTTTTTTTTTTTTTTTTTTTTTTAACATCTTCACTTCCAACAAGGCTGCAAGCAACCACTATAAGAGTTGGAAGTTACTGGAAAAGAAAACACTAAATCTGTAGAGCAAGATAACGATTGACTGATGACTTAAAACATTGCAAATTATATGAATCAGGAAAGCAAGATGAAGGAAGCGAATTCCAAAGAACTGATGTTCGAGGAAAAAAACTAGAAGAATAAGAGTTTTTGAAGCACTTAGGAACAGTCACAGAAAAAGGATGAGACTTAATTGAATGGCGAGTAATACGAGAATGAATTTTAGTAGATGGCACAAGGGACGCTAGCTCTTTAGAGCAGTGCCCATTATAGTATTTGTAGAAAAGAGAAAGAGAAGCAACATTACGACGATGTGACAAAGGTTGGAGATTGGCTGCCAGAGCAGGTCCAACTATGTTTACAATTCGTTTTTGCACCTTGTCTAAAAGAGAAAGAGCATTATTAGAAGATCCGCCCCAGATGTGGCAACAGTATTCCATTCAGGGACGGATTTGAGATTTATAGATATAGAGAATAGAATTTGGAGTAAGAAAGTGTCGAGCTCGATAAAGAGATGCAACCTTAGCAGATGCTAATTTTGCAATGGATTTGACATACGGTTTAAAAGAAAGATCAGAAGTAAGAGTTAATCCTAGAAGATGAATGGTAGATGACTCATCTAGTACATTACCATTCATAAATATAGGAAGATCTAAATTATTACGATAACGATTGGCCGAATAAAATTGAGTTTTATCTGAATTAAAGTTCACCAGCCACTGTGAGCCCCATGCTGTAGCAGAAGTGAGATCCTTTTCAAGCTCAGATACCCCCTCCAAGCAATCAGAGAGTGTAGGCTTCTTATCATGACAAGAGTAAATGGTTGTGTCGTCAGCGAATAATGCCACCTTAGATGTGAGAATATCTGGAAGATCGTTAATGTAAATTAAAAAGAGTATAGGGCCAAGGATTGAACCTTGAGGAACCCCTGAAGTTACAGGATGTGAAGAAGAGTGTTGTCCATCGAGGACAACTTTTATACTACGATTGGAAAGAAAGGACTCAATAATCTTAAAGACGTTACCAGCTACACCATAAGAAGAAAGCTTATGGAGAAGACCAGCATGCCAAACTTTATCAAAAGCTTTAGAAATGTCAAGTGCGATAGCCTTAACCTCTCCACCTCTATCTAATGCACGGTAAAACCTATCGGTTATTACTGTTAGCACATCAGCTGTAGAACGAGAAGACCGAAATCCATATTGATGATCAGAAAGTAAGTTATTTGATTCAAGATGAGAGATTAAGTGTTTGTTGATTAAAGATTCAAAAACCTTGCTTATGACAGGAAGAAGACTAATGGGACGGTAGTTAGATGAATCAGATCGCTCTCCGGAATTTTTGAAAATAGGGATAACAGATGCTGCTTTCCAGCATGATGGAAAACAAGACTCTGATAAGCACTTGTTAAATAGTTTAGAAAGTATGGATGAAAGCTCCGGAGAACACCTCTGCAAGACTACAACAGGAATATTGTCAGAACCACAAGCTGTTGAAGAGTCTAAGCAGGAAATTACTTTAGATACAGAAGCTGAAGTGATGCGAATGTCAAGCAATGGATCAACCTGTTTGACGGCTATGTCAGGTAAAACGCAACTAGTGGAATCAAGAGATGATATTGATGAAAAGTTCTTAGCAAACAATTCAGCTTTGTCTTTAGGTGAGGTGACAAAGTCTGAACCATACAAGAGAGAAGGAATAACAGATTTGCCCTTACTATTGATACTTTTAAAGATTCTCTAGAAGTCTCGAGAGCCTAATTTTTGTGATGAGATACGAGATTTAATGACCTGGGAATAGCGAGCTTTGGCGTCAGACAAAACCTTTTTACAATGGTTTCTGGCGATAGTGAACAGATGTCTGTTTTCTGGAGAATTGTTTTGCTGATAGATATGGAAGTAACGGTTTCGATTAGAAATTGCTGCAGCGCAATGTGAGGAAAACCAAGGAGAAGAGTGAGGCTTGACCTGGAATCGTCGAGAGGGAATAAAAGATTCCATGCCAGCCTGAATCCACGAAGTTTTGTAAGAAGCACATTTGTCAGCAGGAAGACGAAAGATTTCTACCCAAGGGCCATCACGAAGAAAATCACGGAAAGAGTCCCAGTCAGCTTTAAGGTAGTTGTATGTGGTACGATGATAGAGGGATTCTGATGAAGTAGAAGAATTTGATAATAGTTTTAGAGAGATCAAACCGTGATCAGAAGTACCTAAGGGTGAATGTGGAGAAATTGAGCACTGACTAGGATCCAAAACAAGACATAAGTCGAGTAGAGAAGGTAAATGATTAGGGTTGTCTGGAAAACGAGTTGGAAAGTTGACTATTTGAGTTAGAGATTGAGAAAGGCAAAAGTTGAGGGCCTTAACGCCAGCAGAGTCACTGACACTAGAGCCAAGCCAATCGGTGTGGTGGGCATTAAAGTCACCAACAACGACGATATTGGCCGATGGATAAAGAGAGAGGGCTTGGTCAATTTGATCAGAAATAACATCAAGAATAGTGCAATCTTGGGATGAAGGAGAGCGATATAGAACAAAGAGAAAGGCGATAGAGTGAAGTTGTGCTAAACGAAAGCACATAAATGAATAGTCTGTAGATTCAAACCTAGTTTAACGACAAATGGGTGAGTTCTTACAAATGTAGATGCCCAGGCCAAGCATGTGATTATTGGAGTCTTTACGAATTAAAGGAAGATAACCATCAACACTAAGATCACAAGATGGGACAACCGAACTCAAATTAGTCTCACAAAGAGCAAGTAGGTCTGGTGAACTTTGCAAGAGATAAGACTCAACAGAAGAAAAGTTACTTCGAAGACCACGAATATTAGTAAAT